AGTTTGATAGGAGAAGCAGTCAAGACTTCCAGAGACAGGGCTCCTGCCCAGGAAGCCCCTGGGAATGGAGGCAGCCCTTTCGGTCAGGGCAATCCTGGGACTGGCCCAGAGGCTCGCGATCCTTCTACCCGAGACAGGATCGACCCCAGGATCGCCAAAGCACAGGAGCCAGAGGCCAGTTCCAGTCCAGACGCCCATATAGGGGATCGGGAGGCAGATCCTTTAAGCGCACCAAGTGACGCCAGACAGGACACTCCCATCGGGGGTCGGTTAGGAAATTTCATCGAGGTCTGGGAGCAGACCACTACCGACTCCTGGGTCTTGGAAACGATCAGGCATGGCCTGACCTTAGACTTCTGTTCTCCCCCACCAAGCTGGTTCATCAGATGTCCCATCTCCAGAAAGGTACACAAGGCAAGGTTGCTAACTTTGGCCATAGCTCACCTCCTGTCAATTCAAGCCATAGAGAGGGTACCAAGGGGAGAGGAAGGAAGAGGATTTTATTCCATCCTCTTCGTTATCCCGAAGCCGTCAGGAGGATGGAGAGCAATATTGGACCTGAAGGGCCTGAATTATTACATAAAATACAGGAGGTTCAAGATGCACTCCTTGAAATCCATCCTAGCCAGCGTCAGGGAAGAGGATCTACTATCCTCAATAGACCTAACAGAGGCGTACCTACACATCCCCATTCATCCCAGCTACCGGAAATTCCTCAGATTCACCTACGCGGGCCGACATTACCAATACAGGGCCCTACCCTTCGGACTATCCTCAGCGCCAAGGGTATTTACCAAGATTCTAGCTGTAATAGCGGCCCATCTCAGACTGATGCCGGTTCGCGTACAGTTCTATCTGGACGACATCTTGATCCAGTCCAGATCTCAGAAACAAGCAAGGGTAGATCTCAAGACCACAATCCGAACCCTGCAGGGGCATGGATTATCGGTCAATTTGGCCAAAAGTCATCTCACTCCCTCAAGGAGACTGCAACACCTAGGCGCAGTAATAGACTCGTCACAGTGCAGGGTATACCTTTCCCAGGATCGACGAATCAGCATATCTAAGCTAATTCAACAAATTCAGAGAATCAGGAGAGTGCCCTTGATACAGCTCTCGAAACTCCTGGGAAAGATGATATCTTGCATGGGCATTATACCATGGGCAAGACTCCACTCGAGGGAGTTGCAGTGGTTCCTCCTACCCTACCAGAGGAGGAATCTCAGCACCTCCAACAGGAAGGTCTTGGTACCAGCACAGGTGATGAGATCTCTGAAATGGTGGATATCTCCCAAGATACTCAAGGGGAGCATATTCAAAGAGCCGAACAGGGTCACGCTCACGACAGATGCGAGCCTGTTCGGATGGGGAGCCCACTTGGGAACCCAGATAGCACAGGGCCAGTGGGACCAGAAGGACCTCTCACACAGCATCAATTGGCTAGAGCTCCGGGCCATCCACCTGGCCCTACGCCATTTCTCACATCTAGTAACAGGGAGGCACGTCCTCGTGTTAACGGACAATGTATCAGCCAAGGCCCATGTAAACAAGGAAGGGGGAACGCGATCAGCGGAACTAATGAAGGAGGCGTTAGCTCTGGCTCGGTGGGCAGAAACCAACGTGAGTTCTATCAAAGCAGAACACATCTCGGGGGAGGCAAACAGCCAGGCAGACTCCCTGAGCAGAGCCAAGGTGGATCAGGCGGAATGGCACCTGGATCCGGCTCTGTTCGAGGAGATCTCCCGGAGATTCGGGCAACCGCACCTGGACCTATTTGCCAACCACAAGAACACACAACTCCCCAGGTTCTTCTCCAGATTCCCGTCTCCGGGGTCGGAGGGAACGGATGCTCTCAGGTGTTGGTGGCCGGCGCATCTCCTGTACGCCTTCCCACCGTTGCCCTTAATACCGGCGACCATACGCAAGCTGATCCGAGAAGGCGCAGAGATAGTTTGCATTGCCCCGCATTGGCCACGGTGCCCGTGGTTTGCCGACCTCGTGGACCTTTCGATATCACCCCCGTGGAGGATTCCCCCGGACAGAGTAACTCTCAGCCAGGGCAAGTTGGTGCACCCAGACCCCCAGTGGCTACAACTAGCCGCTTGGCATTTGAGCGGCAAAGTTTAGCCAAGCAAGCTTACTCGGCAGGGGTGATATCGATCATACAAGCTTCACGACGAGTGTCCACGAACAGGATTTATGATGCTACATGGAAAGGCTTTTGTAGGTGGTGCGCTTCTGTGCGCCTAGATCCAGCTGCAGTATCCATCCCCAATGTTCTAGATTACCTCCTGGAGGGTCTTAACAAGGGCCTGTCAGTCAACACTATTCGCAGACAGATCTCAGCCCTCTCAACTGTTCTCTCTTGCGACAACTTGACATCCCTAGCGCAACATCCAGCGATTAGCGCCTTTTTAAAGGGGGCGTCCAACACAAAGCCCCCCGTCATTCACAGGTACCCGTCTTGGAACCTGCCTAAAGTCCTTCTAGCCTTGACATCAGCACCATTTGAACCCCTTGATTCATGTTCTCTTCACCACCTATCGCTGAAGGTGGCCTTCCTCATGGCAATCACTTCAGCAAGGAGAATTTCAGAACTAGCGGCACTATCAGTAAGGAAGGATTTGTGTACCTTCTTCAAGGACAGGGTCGTCCTTAGGCCAGACCCGGCCTTCATTCCGAAGGTAAACAGCATCTTTCACAGATCTCAGGAATTGATTCTTCCCAATTTCTGCCCAAAACCCAAACACAGGCTAGAGCATAGATGGCACAAGCTGGACGTGCGTAGAGCGCTGTGTTTCTACGTGAAACGCACGTTGACATTCCGCAAGACAGAAGCATTATTTGTTTCCTTTCAACCATCATCTATGGGAAAGAAGGTGTCTTCTTCCACCATAGGTAGGTGGATCAGAGCCTGCATAGCCCAGGCCTACGTTTCGCGGGAACTACCAGCACCCGCACATGTGACTGCCCACTCAACACGGAGCGCAGCCACTTCGGCGGCGTGGCTAACACAAGCGCCGGTAGAAGAAATTTGTAAGGCAGCGACATGGTCTTCACCGTCTGTCTTCATCCGGCATTACCGTTTAGACTCCCTGGCCGCATCAGATGCTGCCTTTGGTAGAAGAGTGCTACAGCAAGTCGTATCTGCTCAGAATTCGGTAGCCTAGACTTTCCCTCCCAGGGGGACATGAGGGCTTTGGTATGTCCCATCCATTGGACTCTACAGCCATCCTGCTGGAGAAGGGGCGTTGACTTACCTGAACGCCTTTTCTCAGCAGGATGATGTAGAGTCCAAGCCCACCCAGGGGTTAGGTCTAGGCAGGCAGGTAATAAAGAGCTGCAATATTGATTCCAACAAAGTTTCTCGCCTAAGTCAAAACTGGGGTCACGCCCAGAGGAAGGGGTGTGGCCAAAGTTTTTACCCAGTCTGCCGGGCAGGAAGGCTGTCATAGAACCCATCCATTGGACTCTACATCATCCTGCTAAGAAAAGGCGTTCAGGTAAGTAAACGCCCCATTTACGGATTTGGTGATTACACAGGATAAGATCATAGAAAAAAGAAAGTATGTTGTAACCAGCTTTAGAAGTTCAGTTATAATTGTACTTATAACTGCTGTAAAGAAGATCAGAAGCTATTTCTTTTATATTTTTCTTTCTTTTTTCTTTTAATTCCCCCCTCCTTTCTTCTATTTTTAGCTTTCTCTTTGATTTCTCTCTTTTTTCTTCATTTATATTATTTTGTATTAGTTTTTATCTTCCTTTTCTTTTTTCTTTTTTTTTAAAAATACCTTTAATAAAAATATATATAAAAGAGAGAGATATCTGGCCCAGAGTCATCTAGTTTGTGGCTGATGGTAAATGGAGAAACAGAGTTTTCCCAGTTCCAATAACACCTTAACTATTACAGCACATGGGTTTATTATGCAAGGCAGTTGTTAGTGATGCAACCATATTCAGCTAGAGATGATTGAAAAATTCATTTGAATTCTGATAGAGCTGGCTTCCATAGTGCAGATTTCAGAGTTTTTTGTTTCTGCTAAGCATGCAAAAATTGCTTGTAGTATTTCTGCTGTTGTTGAACTTTTCCAGTGAAGAACTGCATAGCTTCATTTTTAAATGCACATAACTTGCTGTTTCTCTTCCTTGATCCCTGGATTCTCTTCTCCCTCCGCCCCCCCAAAATGCTACTGATACAAAAAAAATGTGGCATTGGATGAGGGGGAGATTGACAAAAATGTAGTGCTTTGTAAGGACAAAAGTACATTCTGCTAATGCAAATCTGCAAGAGCTAGAAACTCCATTAAAGCAGTTTATAAATCAATGTTTTTCAACCGTGACAATTTTAAGGTGTTTGGACTACAACTCCCAAGAATTGCTAGCTGGGGAATTCTGGGAACTGAAGTCAACACATTTTTAAAGTCATCAACATTGAGAAACATTGTAATAAATAGTTCTACACCATTAAACCAGCTAAGTTAATTAATTATAACATGCTTTCCAGGTTTTTTATGAGCTTTTTTTTTTTTTAATGTTTTCAGCAGAGTTCCAAAACCAAGAAAATCGCCATCACATCTTGAATGAACAGCTTTGAATTCCTGGTGTCCTTTCCACCTATTTTAATCTGCTTTTCTGGAGGGGAAATATATATAATAAATGACTCCGAGACAAGTTATCTTTTACCAGCTGCTTGACTTTGGTGAACAGTATTCGCTGATTTCATGACATTTGCACTGAATGTAATTATCCTTCCTTGCCAAAAAAAACTGTGTTGCCTTGGAAGGATTTATGAGTGTTGTGATCTAGTAAGTAGAGAGGAAGGCAAGGGAAGGGCTCCTCAGTTCTCCAGAGAAAAAGTAATACAGTTCTGGACAAAGCGATCTGTAACTCATTGAAGCCTTCATATAGGCTTCAAACCATTTAGGCTGCTCTGTAGAAAGTTTCTACTATTGAATCCATGTGAATAATACGTTTATTTGTCGGCCCTTTTGATCCTCTAGGCTCAACAGTGGCGGAATGAAAATTTTGAACGGCCTATTGACATGGAAGGCTCGGGGGACGATTACTCCTTTGAAGATGAAGAACTAGAGGAAATGGAGGACTTCTATTCGGGATCTGGCTCGGGATGTGAGTACTGTATGGAATTAAAATGGCAAGAATTACATCATTCCAGGAAGGAATACATCATGCCAGTTGTGGTTTTGATAGTCCGATTAATAGAACAGATGGAAAGGCAAAGGTCCTTTTTGGGTTGAATTTTTATACTCCGTATATCTCTGTGTGTTGGATAGTCAGCATTCCTTTGAGGGAAAATCAATTGCTTTTTCTTTCAGGAAGAAAGTTTCAGGAAAATTCTGAGAGGTGGTGGCACTTTCTTTGGATATGAGGTAGATGTGAAATACAGTAGGTGTGATTCACATATTGTGCTAAGCCAGCAATGGGCTTTCTATGATTTTTCCTTTTGATGTGATGTGAACTCAGCTAACTGTTCATGGTTCATGCAATGGACAAACCTAGTTCATACCATGGTTTAAGGCAGCAATGGGCTTTCTATGATTTTTCCTTTTGATGTGATGTGAACTCAGCTAACTGTTCATGGTTCATGCAATGGACAAACCTAGTTCATACCATGGTTTAAGGCAGTCTGCAAACCTGATCAGTGCCTTATCTTTCATGGTATGCTCAGTTTTTCAGATATCTGTAGAATAATGGAAAGATTCCTCTCCCTCCCTCCCTCTTTCCTTCTCCCTCTCATCTCTCTCTCCCTCCCTCCCTTTCCTTCTCCCTCCCCCCCTCTCTCTCTCACATACACATACACACAAATCTCCGAGCACTATGTGTTCCCTCACAACAATCAAGTCTCTGGTCACCCCTATTGCCTCACTGGAAAAAGTTCTTCAGAAAAGGAGACTCCTATTTCAGAGGAAGCAAACTTTTGAGAATGTGTGAATTTTGATACAATATGTGTAAAGAGGCACATATTGTAGAAAGCCCCTTTCCCAATTTTTGTGCTCCCCAACACCTATCGAGATAAGGGTCAACAATCCTGTTTTTATGGACAATATAAGGGACAGGGTAGGTATGTGAGATCTCTTGGAAACTTAACTGACCTCTTTTACTGCTTCAATCCCATAATGATGAGCTCACTCCTGGCCGTGTCCGTCAAAGACCCCCGGGAAGATGCTGGTGCTGGATCTGATGTATCTTTGCATTCTTTGGGTCCAAATATTGTACAATGGAGTTCCTATCACCCACCGAAGTCCTTTGCAATTCTCACTGAATTCAACAGATTAAAAGAATGTTGAATGCTGCCTTAGGATTTATGGAGATTTGCATCTTTTAGAAGGGAAAATAATGAATGTTGCAAGAGTATAAATTTCTTAAGGATTAACAAATGGTAAATTCCACAGAATTGAAAAGAATGACTTCTGAGGGAACATGTAGATAATCCCAGTGCTATTGTTCGGCTCTGGTTGTAAAAACATGGAAAATCAAAGCAGGTTTTTAACACTAACTAAAATAGCAGGACTGCCCATTAAAAACCAAACTGCAGCAGTTGCCATGCTCTAATTTGCCAGCTAATATCCATAGCTTAATTTTCATTCAGTTCACAGTGCGTTGTTTTGATTCATTCATTGACTTTAATTATTTCAAAGAGATGGAGTTTTCTGCAGAAGCAAATCGAACAGCAAATCTGAATGCCGTAGATAAGAAGGCAGATCCCTCGTAGATTGGGGCTGCACTTTCCAATAATCAGAATCCAGAAAACTGGCATAGCTTCCAGATTCTTCTGAGTCACAACTCCCAGCACCCCTCTTCTCTAGGCAACTGGAGGACTACAGCTTTCCCAATTCGTATTATAAAATAGCTCTTTGTCGTATCTTGTTTCACTTGCAGTATTGCAGTTATGATAACTAATAATATTAATCAGCGTGAATAGTCTACTACTGAAAAAATGAGTTATGACCATTTTTCACACTTAGGACCGTTACAGCATCCCCTTGGTCATGTGATCAAAATTTGGATGCTTTACATATTTATGATGGTTGCAGTGTCCTGAGGTGATGTGATCACTTTTTGTAACCTTCTGACAGGCAAAGTCAATGGGGAAACCAGATTCACATAACAACCGTGTCACTAACTTAATAACTGCAATGATTCACTTAGCAACTGTGGCAAGAAAGGTTGTAAAATGGGGCAAAAGTCACTTAACTGTTTTGCTTAGCAATGGAAATGTTGGGCTGACTTGTGGTCATAAGTTGAGGACTACCTGTATTCCTGTTCATTTCCTGCCTTAGGGTAATTTAGAGTATTGTTATTTTCTATATGATGTTCGTGTTCTGTCTTCCAGATTTCAAGCAGGACCCTGAATCCAAGACAGTTGTGCGACTCACCACAGATTCACCCATCCTTCTTGCTACCACCTCAGCTGTGTTGCCTGTCACATCTGTGCAACCAGTTGCCACCCCTTTGGCACCACTCCCTACAGAGGAAGTTATTTCTAATTCAGCTACCAACGGTCTGTACATCCCCAGAATTTCAGAAACACCAGCAGTCACCATCTGGAAAGCAGTAGGTGTTACTGCAACTACTGCAGCCCGCGATGTCACTACTACTACTACTACTACTGCTGCTGCTGCTACTGCTGCTGCTGCTGCTGCTTCTACTATGGCTACGACAGCCTCCACCACAACAGTTACCTCTAAACCAACAACTGCCCTGAGGGACCTGCTGCCTGTGATCACAATTGTTGCTGTGACACAGTCAATGATGCTTGAAACCCCAACTGTAGCCAGAACGGAAATTCCAGCTTCTCCCGTGGGGACCAGTGAGACAAAGGTCAGAGATACATCACAGCTCAGCACTTCACAGGAACCAGATGTTACAACAATGCCCCAGCCTCCTACAGCAACACCAACAGATGCTGCTCAGGTAGACCTGAAACTAGGAAAGAGTTTAAAGAGGCTCTTTGTCTCAATATGGTAATTTCTGCATGAACTAAACCAGAGGTGGGCCAGCTATAGCCTATGACTTGTGGACTTCAACTTCCAGTCATAAGGGGCCACAGTTTCTCACCCCTACTAAACCATAGTCTTTAATGAATCAATCAATGTCAGCCAATCATTAGTTTCCTCCCTTTCTTCCATTTTCCCTTTCTTTCTGCCTTCTTTTGCTTAGAAACAGTTCAATATTGTTGGCCCAATTGGTTTTGAAGCAATAGCTTTAACCCTGGAAGTGCCATTTCAGTGCAAATGTTCATCACTTCTTTGTTTCTTCTGTGTTTAGCTCTTCACTCAAGAAAAAGGATTCTGGGTGGAGTCTGCATATGCAAAGAAGGGAAAATAAATAGTGAAACTGGGAGTCATAAAGGAAGACTACAACTTTTGCTCCTAGTTTCCAATAGTTTCAGCATTTCCCTAAATGACTTGTATGAAGAAATTGAGGGAATGATGATCAGATTTCCAGATGACATCCCACTGGGTGGGATTGCTACTACGATTACCCTAGATAGAAGACAGAAGTTCAGATGGATGGTTTGAGATGTGGGTTGAAAGTAACAGCTTGAAATTTAGCAGAGATGGATGTAAAGTTCTTCATTTAGGAGAAAGATGTTGCAATACTACAGAATGAGAGATACCAGGCTGGGTATAGCAATAGTGCTTGTGAAAAGGAACTGGAAACCTTAATCACGAGTGAAATGTGTTTCAGTTTGCTGAAACAGTCAAATGCAGAGGTATAGTTTCCAAATCAGAGTGTGTATGTCGAAACCCGGAGGTGGGGGATGTTATTTTAAAGGAAGATGCTATCAGTGGGAAGAATATGAGAATGATTTCCAAAAACTGTCTATGGAGATTCTCAACCATCCAGGTCATGGTTGTCCCAAAGGTGCTTTTCCAAAAGACATCTGGACTTTCTTTCCTTTTCCTTGAAAACGTTTTGCTTCTCATCAAAGAAGCATGAGAAGCTTCTTGGATGAGAAGCAAAAGGTTTTCAAGAAAAAAACAAGAAAGTCCAGTGTAAGGACCCACCCCACTTTGCATCTTAAGAATTGTTGGAATATTTCTTCAAAAAGGTATCTTTATTAAGAGAAAATGGTTGCAGGCATTCTAGACAGGACCTGGTGGAATTCACATTTCAAGAGTTTGGCATATAGGTGGGCGGCTTGCAGTTTCTTTAAAACCGCTCTGACTAGGTTAACATGTTCCTCTTTGGATTCGGTGAAGATAAGAATGTTGTCTAAGTAAACCAGGACCCCCTTAAATAGGTGCTCCCTTTAGAACGTCATTGAATAATTGCATAAAGACTGCAGGGCCCCCTTGTAATCCAAATGGCAAGACTTTGAATTGGTAGCACCCCATTGGGCAGTTAAATGCGGTCTTCCATTCATCCCCTTCCTTAATTCTCAGGCGATAGTAAGCTTCCCTTAGGTCTAGTTTAGAAAAAAAAATTCTCTTTTGAGAGGTGTGACAACATGTCTTTCATGAGTGGCAGAGGGTATAGGTTGCTTTCACTGATTGTATTCAGGGCCCTATAATCCATGCATAAGCATAAAGAACCATCCTTCTTCTCTCTAAAGAGGACTGGGGCAGCCACTTTAGGCTTGGCTGGGTCAATGAACCCCCTTTCTAGGTTTTTCTTTATGAATCTTTCCATTTCCTCCTTCTCCTTTGGGCTCATGGAGTATAATCTGGGCTTCAGGAGTTTTGGCCCAGGCTTGAATTCAATGGCACAGTCCATGGGTCAGTGCGGGGGGGAGCTCATCCGCCCTCTCCTCACTGAAAACTTCAGCAAGGTCTCTGTATTCCTCTGGTATTTCTGGTAGTCCCTTTTCCTCTCCCATGGATGCTTTTTCTGTTCTTGATTTTGGTAGCCCCCTTTGGAATTTTATGTCCATAGGGTCCTCCTTCGGGAATTTGATTTTTGCCATCCTCCAATTCACCCAGGGGTTCCATTTTTTTAACCATTCCATCCCTAGGATCATCGGGCATTCCAATCCTGGGGTCACTACAAACGTTATGTCTTCCTCATGTTTGCCCAGGGAGAGGTGTATTGGTAAAGTGGCTAAGGTAGCTGGCACCCACCCTGCTATGGACCCATCTAATTGGCCAAATGAGATTGATTGTTCCAGTCTCCTCGACGGAATGCCCACATTCCCCACTAGCATCGGGCTAATGAGGCAGCAGGTGCAGCCAGAGTCTGTTAAGGCTTTCACCTTCATGGCTTCGGGCATGGGGGGAATTAATATAGTCACTGTCTTGAGGATGGGTGCGATGCATCCACTTACCAAGGGTTCGCCCTCTGAACTGTCGTATGAGGCGTCCACCAGCCCTGCGGTGTAGGCTGGAGTTCTTTCCCCCTGATGAGCAGAGGTGGGGGATTCAACAGCCTCCATCAATCTCATGGCAGGTTCTTTTGGCTTAGCCGGAGACTTTCTGGATTTGCTGGCTGGTGATCTGTCTGGGTTGTGCTGGGGGGCTTTTGAGCGGCATTCTACAGCCTGATGCCCTTCTTTCCCACACTTGAAACACCCCATTTGCTTCTTGGCCATAGCCGATGGTTTCACTGGTTCACGTGTCAACTCAGGCGGGGAGCAGCTCCATTGTTTTCCTCGGCAGTGCCTCTTCAGTAGGTCGATCTCTGCTTCCTCTGCCAGGACGTACCATTCGTCAAGTTGGTGTGGGTCCCCTCGGGGCAGGCAAGTGTCATATAGGTCATAATTTAGTCCGTCTTTGAAATGGCTAAGGAGGATGTCTTCCGGCCAGTTCAGTTTGCTGGCAAAGGCCCGGAATTCTGGCGTATATTTGGCTACCAGGCGTTTGCCTTGCCTCATCATTTTTATCCTTTTGTGGGCTTTGTGATCAGCCAGGGGGTCCTCAAATCACCTTCTCAGAGAGGACACAAAATGGTTGAAGTCGTTGAGCTCTGGGGCATTGGAGTCGGGCAAGTTCACCACTCAATCTGTGGCTGGCCCGTCCAGGGCAGATTGCACGATCCGGATACGGGCTTTGTCGCTGGGGATGTGCTGCCCGTATCCCTCCATGTAGCTGACGACTTGGGTTAGGAAAACCCCCAAGTGTGTGGGCTCCCCCTTAAATCTCACGTCCAGCGGCGGGAGTCGTTGAATGGTTCGGTGCCTTCGTTGTTGGTGGTAGTTTCTTCTATCCAGATCGCTGTCTGCGGGTCGGTGGGGAGTGGGGACTACTGGATCAGCAGATGTCCCCAGGCTGCAGGTTCCACTTCCCCCTCGGTGTCTCTCCCTTTGCAGCTCCAGGAGCTGGGGCGGCCGTAGGGCTCAGAATTCTCCTCTCCTAAGGAGCTGAGGGTTCTCTTCATCAGGTCGATAGCTTTCTCTAGGATCCAGCCCAAGTACGGTGCCCAGTTCCCTTCCTCTTCGCTTGCGTGCAGGGATTTCTCCATCTCCTGCTTCCATTCTGGTTGGTTGGCCCCCCATCTCAGGGTCACCTTTCTTGATTTCTTTTCCCACTCGCCTTTCTTTCCAACGCCCATTGACCACCGAGGTTTGTGGTCCCATGTCTCCACCACCTCTTCTCCTGAGGAATCTGACCTCTCAGATTCCAACAGCTGACAGTGTTTCAGTCAGGGCAGCGGCTCCCTTTCCAGGGAGTTTTCTCCTTTCCCTGATCCGTCGTCTAACATGGTAATTTTTGCAAAGTCCCCCAGCAAGGTTCTTCTTTCCAGGTGGGCTAATTCCACAAGTCCTGTCTAATGTAAGGACCCACCACACTTTGCATCTTAAGAAGACAGAACTCTTGGAATATTTCTTCCAACAGGCATCTTTATTAAGAGAAAATGGTTGCAGGCGTTCTAGACAGGACCTGAGGCCCACGCCCTACAGTTCAAGGTTTTAAGGGGTTCCCAGCAGCCCCACCCCACCCCACCATCCTTCCAGCGACAATCCCAGGCGTTACATTTTCACCCCCTTTTTCCTCACTGCTGGTGGAAGGGAGACTTCAGAGAGGAGTAGATGAAAGCTGATGGCCCCATTGTTATGATTAGTCCTTTTGGTGGTATCCACATTCAGTCCCTTTGAAGTTGTACCAAAGGAAGTGAGGACCATAAAACTCCTTTGTTTACCCCCCCCTTCCCCTTCATCGTATGACAGAATCCAGAGAGGGCAGAAATGGGGTTTTCCATAGTCGATAATTAGAGATGAAATATAATTGGATTCTGACATCCAGTTGCCTTTTGGAACCTTTGGGATTTACAAAATAATTTATGAAGAAGAAGGCAAAGACTAGTTTTTTACTGAGGCAGACTGCCAGAAACAAAACAGGCAATAGGAAGGCTGCTTCCATTTGAATGTTAGGAAACGTTTAATCATAAAAATCACTTCAGCAGAGAAACTAATACTGTATGAGGATAATTATTATTTTTTTCCTAAGTTTTTTATTAATTTTCCAATATAACATTTACATATTTGAAAAGTAGCGTGGCGGTTGAGCATTGTAATTCCATTACATTTGAATATCATCAGTACAAATCTCAAAGTATTACAACTAATTCCCTCTCTTTCCCCCATAAAATCTACTGTCATATTCAGATCAATACAGTTCTTATTCTATCAATCAAACAAAAAATACCTTTCTAGTATTCATCAATAATCTTCAGTCTATACCAGTGATGGCGAACCTTTTAGAGACCGAGTGCCCAAACTGCAACCCAAAACCCACTTATGCATCGTCGGGTGCCGGGTGGGTGTGGCCCATTGGGTGGGTGTGGACAATTGGGTGGGCGTGCCTGCGGTGGTAATGGCAGACTGGGTGGGACTAAAAAGTTCAACCAATCAATTCCAACTTTGCAAGATCTTTTTTTCCTGCAAGTTGAAATTAACTGATTGATTGAACCTTTTTTTTTTGTACAAAGCAGCAGAGGCCTAAAGCAAAAAGGTTTTATAAAACCCAGCTGAAGGT